AGTGATGGGACTGAAGTCTTCTTGGGGCTGAGAGATGACGGCACAGAAGTTGCAATAAAGAGAATGTCTAACAGCAACTATCATATGCTGAAGAACGAGGAAGGGTTTCTGCGGCTTCCGGAGCTTGATCATCCATTTATTGTCCGATATGTGGACTTTGCAGAAGATGAGAACTTTGGATATCTTGTTCTTCAACTTTGTGAATACACTCTGGAAGAATACATTGAAAATCAGCTTCCAGGAGACAGTCTGTCTTTGAGGACACTTGTGCAACAGGTCCCCTGAAAGTTTAAGTGCTCTTCACTGTCAAAATCCCCAAATTCTTCACCTTGAATGGCTCCACGGGCCTTGAGGAAAATCTTGGTGTCCCCGTTCAAGAGTCTCAACCCAGCGAGCTGAAATTAAATTCAAAAGTTATTTCAGATTTGACTTCATAAGCAGTCAGAGAAAACATAAGAAATTCCAATGTCCAATAGCAACACAATGGAATAAATCTGCTTAAGAAATGAATACATTGCTCAAATTATTTAGCTCAACAAGGTTTTACATATGTATTGTACATACAGTGGTTTCAGAGCAGTATGTTACTGTTAACAGTCAGTAAAGGACTCGTAGAACAGTTTTGTGTGATTTTCTTTTTACTTTTTCATTTCTGTTTTGTGAGATTCTATAATTTACTCAACCACTATGTGGAATCTGATGTTATGTACTTTGATGCACAACCGCTGTCAGATCCTGAAATTTAAAAGCCAGTGATGATGATCATTTCTACTTCTACTCTGTTTTACTTTGATTATTTGGTTAATATGATGCTATTGGTGCAATAGTTCTACTGGTAGTCAGTTTTATTGTAGTAAAGGTGTTTTTACTCTTGTATTACATTATGTTATTTCTACTGTATATTATGCAACAAGGTACAAATTGTGAAGGAACACAAGATGTATTGTTGAACTAATAAACATCTGTTTTTCTGTAGTTATCTGTCACAAATAAACTGGATCCAGATGTGTTTGAAATGCCCTTGGTTTTTGGTATCACAACTGTACAAGTCGTCTTGTATTGTCCTAAAAATTGTGCCTATATTTGGAGTCAACTGAAATGTAATTTCTTTGAATCTGTAGAATTTGCAACCAGTTTCTATTACTCTGTGCTAATGGTTTTTATCAGTACTGGGGCTCTGATGGACCCCCGGCGCCCCCCTCTGGCCTGGAAGAAGAATGACACCTTTGGTTTTTCCATACTGGGAGAGTCTTGAACAAATCCAGGAATCATAGCAGAGCTCCCAGTCCAGTGTAGATGTAGTGGAAAGTGCAGAAATATTCAGGGCTAAATCTAGTTCATGCCTTTTTTAGACAGTTATGAGATTTGATACAGAATGAGAGAGCCTACATTTGTTGGTGCCAAATCTGACAGAAGTGAAAGCAGGAAAATTATAATAAACAAACATATATAAACAAACATGGCGCCCACCGAGGCAGACTGTCATGCACTGCTAACATACAACAGACAGGCATTGCTGGAGAGGGGCCCTACTACATTACTGAGGCTCTGGCCTCCTCTGGTGGTGGTTGATAACACCGTGTTTACCAAACCTTATCTCTCTCCTGCTGCTGCATGTGTTGACAGTGCCATGTTGTCGTTTGCATGATGTTGTAGAGTTGCTTTTTGAAATGGCACGAAGCTGGAACAGGTAAAAATGACAAACCTTTATGGACGATAACAAGCACAGCTAAAGGTTTCCGTAAACTAGACGATAAACCTCACGGTAATAGACACATACGGAAGCCTTATTAATATTCATACTTAAACTTCACTACATTTAGAGGTAGGCTAAATATTGTGCTTTTCACTGCACTACACCTCGGCCCATTTGATATATGCATAATTTTAATTCTAGTTATTTACTTCTCAGAATCAAATTAGCAAAACAAGACATAATACAGCATAAGACATAAATCCTTGTGGGAAATTCACAAGCTATAAAGCAGTAATGGAAATTATAAGTATGTGAAGCAGCTAGTTAACATTAACTCCACCTTTACCAGCTGCATTAACACTTGTGATGAAAACAATAATGAATAAATAATTATAGTCCGATATGTTACATTCATCATGTGAAATGGGCTGTACTGCATAATTAGTAGCCTACTCCAGGGTGGACCCTGCCTGAGTTGAATACATTTGTGGTACACAAGTAGTCAGTGTACATTTACTCAATTAGTACTTCAGTACAATTTGGAGGCTACTTCACTTTGTGGTGGTTGTAAACATAAAGGCTGCTCATTAGGCCACAGCTGTGTTATGACATCACCTGACAGTGGAGCCACTCAGCATTATGTGACTGAACAAGGTTAAATGTTGGTGGTGGTGGTGGACTCTTCTTGGTCTCTTTCTATTTCTGTGAAATCCCCTTACTCACGTCTGCTTTTTACCACCTTTTTCCTTTTATTCCTCCAGTTTCCTAAGATCCTGGGATTAGAACCTTTGTACTCTGTGTCCAGTAACGTTTCAACCAGCTCCTCGTCATGTCTTCTCCTGGTATGTGTCTTACTACAGCAGCAGCTGGGTGATTGGGGAAAATACCTTGATTTCTCTTTTTATATGGAGAATGTTATTTTTCTATTTCATGTTTAATCATAGTGAAATATAATGGCTTTAACTTAACCTAAAACTTCTTTTCTTCCATTGTGTCAAAATCCCCAGGTGTTGTGAAATGATTACTCTTGCATGACTAACTTTCCATTACAAACCCATCTGTTACACGTCACCCGGTAATGAACAAATACCTTGTCCTGATCCCAGCAGCCTTGAGTAAATGTATCCTCCCTGAGGTGAACTCTTTGAAAGAAATTCCTCGAGTGCTTGATTGAAAACATTTCTGATTTGGATCTAGCATACTCCTCTTTCTGAACAGAAAAAACAGCAAATTTAGGAGGTGGAAAGTGTAGAGGGTGGCCTTCCTGCGCACAACCCGCTTTACGTTTTTTGTTATGTGTGTTTTGTTTCCTGCTAGTTAGGGAAAGGAATGTGGAATGAGGTGGAGCGCCAACGAGCCTTGAAGTCCTTTTGACCTCAGGCTCTTGTTAGAAAGCCTGATTGGGATTTCTGGCTTTAAACTGTGAGACTTGAACAGATTAATTCAGCTTTGAATCTGCTCACAGCCTTAACTGAGGGAGAATCTCACATGTGACACACAAAATCCCTCAAAACTCCGTACCAGTTACATTTCAGCCAAGGTGAGGGCATTTTATTTATATAGCACATTTCAGTACAATCCTAATAAGCTGTGCAGCTGATGTGTAAAGGACCATTTGCTAAAACATTTACCCCCAAAGACAGAAACCATCCACAAGCCTGAGAATATAGCTTCAGTCTGGTTTTCTATGTGGAAGCAGTTGTAATCATTTCCTCATGAGATCAGGGGCGGGTCTGGAGACTGTTTTTAATGTGGGGCCCAGACCGGGGTACTCAAGCAGGGAGGAACATTTGGAGGAGGAGTAATAAGTTGTTAGACTCAAATTGAAAACCTGTTTTTAAGTATTAGTAGTATTGTTAATGAAAGGGTTTGTTCATTGTAAGAACTGTAAACTAACTTTGTATCCTAATGTGAAATGTCACTAAACTACCATTTGCTTATTATGACTGTTAATTACAAAAGTGGTTTTACACCCACATCTTTGCTGTCGTTATATTTATAGTGGTGAAACTGTGACAGTTTGACAAACTAACCACGGTGTAAACTTGGTGTGAATTTCCACGTTACTGCTTATCTGTCACATTCTTCTTATAAGGTTTTAGTAGGGTTTAGGTTTAAATGACAAGTAAAAGTTTAATTGACTTGCTTTTATACGAGCTCCACCGATTGGCTGTCAGTAGCAGGCGCTGTAGAATACTACAGTATTCTGACACTGATGGTATACAATCGGAAAACGTCCTGACATGACTGAACTGAAGATATAGATTAACCGAAAGAACTGTATTTGGAGTTTGTTTGATGACAAAAACAGTCATTCAGTAGCTCATCATGTATATCCATGGGTTCACTCAACACAGGTGTGTCAAATTACTGCTTATTGGTTTGAGCTCATTATGTGTCAGTTCAAGGGAGGCGAGTGTGCTGGTTTGGCATTTGTCTGACGTGAAATATGAGGACATGTTTTTTTTTTTCTTTTTTTCTTTTTCGAATTGTGTTGAATAAAAGTTGGTTGAATAAACATGTTGAGGTTGAACTTGTATTAAATTTTTTTTAGCTTACCCAGACAACAAGGCGCCTTACCCCACACCTCAGCCTGACAGCTACCCATTAGCCCCTTATCCAGGTCCTATGGCAGGGTACGGAGACCCACATCAGGTCCCTCCACCAGGCTTCAATATGGGCTACAGTCCAAACCAACCTGCAGTCATGTACCAACCAGGAGCGGTGGGTTCAGGGCAGGATTATGGCGGCCCTCCAGCTGTGGCTCCTGTTGGCGTGCCTCCAGGGCTCGAGTACCTCGCACAGGTAGGTCAGAGAAAATCAGGAAAATTAATTTTCCTTAAGATGAGTAAAAGGTTAAGTAACTTCAAATGCTGTTTTAAGTTTTTTGGTTTTTTTTTTCCTCTAAGGAGTGTCTATGTTGATCTAAGACTATTCATGTGCCTCGCCTTGTTTCTGGAATTTGTCCTCCTTTGTGAGGGAAAGCTACCATTCAGGGTCAATACACGCTACTGTCCACAGGCATATAAACGTAGAGGGTACACGCTGTCAAGTTCCTTATTGTGCAAACGTCACATGAAAATGTGTGGGTGTAAAATAATGCTGTGCTGTGAAACTCATCTTTCACAAATAGGAACTCTGTTAACCACACTTTTCAGCCACAACAAACTAACCTTGTATACGTTTGGTTTATTGCACTCAAGTGCAGCTAAAGTTCATTATCGAGTAAAAGGGTCTACATCTCATCAGGAACTAGAAACTGATACTACTGTGAACAGAGTGATGTGGCTTTACTCTGAGCTGCTTCTATTAAAAACAATGTGGTGTGACCTCAGTCCGCCCTCCCTTTGAAACTTGTAAAGATCAGGTCCGACATCATTCTTTCTTGAAACAACCACTTGGTCATGGTTTTGGTTTTAGTAAAGGATCGCCTTACAGCAAATAGAACTTAAAGACTTGCTTTCATGGCTGTCCAGCAAATTACTCTTTATGTACTGAGACAAGGAAATGATTTGAGTCTGCAGGTAACCAGACTGCCATTCAGGAAAGGTTTGATGCGAGGTACTTTGAATTGCAAACAGGAAATTGTCGCTTTTGCAGTTTTCCCCTTGTTTTAAGAGGAAATAAACCTGAGGATGGATTTATTTTAGTGATGAGCTGTAGACATCACCTTTGTCATTTTTCAGTTTTTCTCTCATTTGGTTTTAGATTGACCAGATCCTGATACACCAGAAAGTGGAACTCCTAGAAGGTAACACGTGTTACTTGTTTATCCAGTCATATTTACTTTTGCCACTTTGTAAACACCAAATAATCAGCAGCAGCTGTCTGACAGTTTTAACTTCAAGCCTCTCAATATAAATCATGCTGATAAAATGGCTTGGATTTCTTTACTTATCAGTACTTTGTTAGTCACCGCTTCCACCCTTTTCCTTCCTCCCCTCTCCCTCCAACCGCACCCAGCATTTATTGGATTTGAGACCAACAACGAGTACGACATAAAGAACAGCTTGGGCCAGAAGATCTACAAGGCCAAAGAGAAGAACGACTGCTGCACCAGGAACTGCTGTGGCTCTCTGCGCAGCTTCGACATGAAGATCAAGGACACCATGGACAGAGAGGTCATCCGCCTCATTAGACCTTACCGCTGCGTCTCCTGCTGGTGTCCCTGCTGCCTGCAAGAGGTGTGTTTAGTGTCTGTTTGTGTGTCAACTGTAACAACTAATAGCCTCATATCATTGATTTACCACACCAAGACCAATAGTTTAACAGTTCAACACTACATCACCCTGAACACTCACTCCAGTTATGAACACCCTCATATCTGTTAGAATATTTGCTCTTAGTGTACAGAGGTACTGCGTCCCATTATTAAAATTAATGTTTAACCACAGATTGCCTTGATGGAGATGGTGAGTCACAGGATTTAAGTTTGCCAAAGCTGTGGGTTTATTACTTAAAGGAGATTTAACAATTTACCAAAGCTGTGGGTTTATTACTTAAAGGTGCATTATCTAAGATTTTCCAAACTGTCTGATAAATCGGGTGAAAAGGGGACAGGACACTGTGTGTGTCAGCTACACTACCCTCCTCCATGACACTGCTGTCTACAGCCCATCTGGTTTTATTCCAGGTTCACTGTAGGGATGTAACAACATTTGTAACTTCACAAGATCACGACAGAAAAACTTCTTGATACCATCGTGGGAGTGTAACATATCTACCAGGATATGACATATGGTTATTTCACTGTGTTCAGTTTACAGAATTTTAAACTTGCATAGTGGGTGAGCCATTGTCGACTCGTAATACTGTTGTGTAGCAGCATTTCAGTTTTCCTGTTTCAAGAAATGACAGTCGGAAAGGAAAAACGCTGAACAATTTGCAAATACTGCCCGACAAAGACAATACCAGCCCTGTTTAGGACTGAGACAGTCCTGGATACATCTTGCAGAAACAGTTAGGAATAACTGGACTTTAACAGAGTTGGGCAAACAAACAGGACACACAAATGCAAAAGCAACCAGCCTGCCACCCTAGGTTATAAGAAGTGTTTTTGAACCGTGAGTCGTTTCTGCAGAGATGATGTCGACCTGGGTGATGGTTATCTTGCTTTATCTGAGTTCAGGAATACACTATGTTACATGCAACAGCAGGTGGTCATATGCCAGGAAGGGCTGGGACATTCAAAAATATTGCGTGCATATCATTCTCCTAGGCTATAAAACTATATGGGGCCTTAAAACCTGCATTTGAACCTCTGCACCAGGTGCTACGCAAATTTAGAAGCACCATTAAAGGTAACTAGAAGAGGCTGGAATTAGAAGGTAGATGCCATGAATGGAACTGGGAAATGTTTTCACTCAGCGAAAATTCAAAGGTCAGTAAATCCTTTTCACTGGGCAAATAAACCTAAAACCTTCCATTGGTCTACTGATGCCATACAAACAGTGAAAAAATATGATTTTAAAGTGAGGCCTTTTAACATAAGTCTAATTTTACTGATTAACTTGCTATTGGCATAGCAACCTGCAGCTCCACAGCTTTGTGGCTCATGTTCGCCTTGTTACTCTTGAGTTGCTGAGTAGTGTTTGTGTCTTTGTGCGCTAGTCTGCTCAGGGAGGGGTTTTGTTAGGACTATGAACGGCTCTTTGTCTAAACTATCTCCTAGACTCCCACAGTCCTTTGCCATCCCTCCACCTCTGAGACCTTAATCACATCATTGCATCAACTGGCTACAGTGCCTTCTCGTTAGCCTGAGCCCAGTGTCCCACACTCTATAATGCTGTTTACTGAGCGGACAGGAGCCATTTGAGATGCATTTCCTTTATCATGTGATGCCACAATGGAGCCATCAGTCTCCTGTGTTGTTCCTGCCATCCCATGTGACATGCTGTCAAGGCAGGGGAGCACATTTTAAAACTCTGTGGAAGAGCTTTCTAAATCTGTGACATCTTGTTTTTACACTGTGACCCACAGTTGGAGGTTCAGGCCCCGCCAGGCACCACCATAGGCTACGTCAGACAAACCTGGCACCCTTTCCTGCCACGGTTTGACATCCAGGGAGCAAACAAAGAGACGGTGCTGAAACTGGAGGGACCCTGCTTTGCCTGCAACTGCTGTGGGGACGTCAACTTTGAGGTGTGCTCAGAAGATGGTAGTACATGGATGGAGGATTGTTAAAGTACTCAGTTTTTTGGGGGACAGGCTGTTCCACCCCCCCCTTCTTTTTCTAGTCTTTATGCTAAGCTAACGGACACAGCTGGGTTTAGCCTCACATTTATCCTACAGTGTGATAAAGATCTAGTCACTGACAGCAAGTCTCAACATGAAAGCATTTGTCTAAAGCCCCCTCCCCACCCCCATGAAGAGTTTCAACTGCTGGGCAGACGGTTTCCAGCTATTTACACAAAAAAAGCCTAATACTATACTGTATATAGACAACATGTTAACTTAAGATCAACCCTATTGTTCTTATTGCTGTAGCTGAAGGGAAAACATGATGACAAGCCCATTGGACGCATCAGCAAGCAGTGGAGCGGCCTGTTGAAGGAAGTCTTCACCGACACGGACAACTTTGGCATCCAGTTTCCTCTGGACTTGGACGTGAAGATGAAGGCTGTGCTCATGGGAGCCTGCTTCCTCATTGTAAGTCCTTAATCTTTCTGAAGAACTCCAATTTTAATTTGTGCGATGTTGCTGAATGATGATGATGATTTGGTTTTGTTGTCACGTTGCAGGATTTCATGTTCTTTGAGAAGGTCGGGGATGCCAACCAGCGCAGCACTGTGTTTTCATAATGAAGTGAAGAATGAGGGGACACCAGCATGGGAGCAAGGATGTTCTGCACTTATACATTCTGTTCATGTACTTTTGTTTTTCTGTTAGTTTTCTTTTATCCATCAACAAATGAACCCTAGAATCTTTTTGTATACTGTACACGCACAGACAATATGAGCCAGTGTGCTTTTGGATCTTTCCAAACCCAGTGAATGACACTGGCTGCCATGTTGCCATTAAGCCTTACTCTCCATACAGTCTGTGAAAGCTTTATATATCCAGATGAATTTTAATCCCTGCCAAACAAAAAATCAATCTAACCCTCTGTGTTTTCAGTGTCTACACTTGGTGGATATCAACATTGGGATTAGTCTTCTGCTGCACTGTCATGTTTATGAAGTAACATGCTAGAGTTTGAAGAAACTGCCTTAAACTTGCTTGATGAATAGAAGTATCTGATGTGTCCATGCTCTGTTCTACACTGAAATAATTCAGCTGTCAGATGAATTGTCGTAATCTTTTATTTAGACATTCATGGTGCTAGATCGCACCATGGTGCTAGAGGATAAATCTTAATCAATTTGTTCATGACCAAATACCTGCAAAACTCACTTGCATCGGTGCTAATTAGCAAATGTTAGTATGTGAAGAAACTACGATGAGCATCGAATTTAATGGGAAAGTGTCCAAATTGTTGACTGGGAGTGTTCGTATTTGCTGTAGACTAATTGTAAGAGAGAGCAAATCTTTTGAGCACAACAGCTGACACATGCTCATGGTATTTACAAGAGTGCTCTTTCTCTACCTCTGCTGCCTCTTTTCCTCTTTGCATCTTAAAGCCTATTGTATCTAATCTAATCTGTATCCACGTAAATGCTCTCATGCTCCCTTTGTGGTTTAGTGGTTGCCATGGAGACTGATGCCACAGCCGGTCTCCTGCCCTCAATTTTCTCCAGATACCACTGTGTTGAAGTAAAGACAGTGTAATGAACAGAGGAGAGAGAGTGTGTGTGTGTGAAGGTTAAATGAGGAATAGGAAGAAACTGAAAAGCAGAAGTCTAAATATGAATCTGACCTCAGAGCGTGAGAACATG